CTGGGTTGGCTGTTGCTAGGTGAAATGGTCACCTTATGGCATCACTGAGGTGGCTGTTGCTAGGTGAAGTGGCCACCTGTGACTTCACTGGGTTGGTTGTTGCTGGGTGAAGTGGCCACCTGTGACGTCACTGAGTTGGCTGTTGCTAAGTGAGTCAAGCATAGCCTCTAAAATGCCGAAGATGGGAGAGCTATATGTATACCTCTACCTAAGTACAGTTATCTGTCTTGTCAGTGTATAAGGGCATTGAACGTTTGCTGTATATGTGTTCTGTGATCCACTCTGAGTCCCCTTTGGGGTGAGAAGGGAGGATTACAAATACTGTAAATCAATCAATCAATCAATCAATCAATTAATCGATAATCCCAGGAGAACCTAAAAGAAGCACCTATCCTCTTGGCTTCTTCTGTCATGGTGCCTCTTCTGGTCTTTTCAAATGCCTAAGTGGGTAAACAGTGGCAGCCATTTCTCCCTTTTCTGTGGAATAGCCCTCGACTTATCCATTAATCATGTCAAAATCCATAACCCCCCTCCCCAAAAAGAACCTTCCCTTGACTTATACATAAGGTCGACTTATACATGAGTAGATATGATAGGTGCCATCTCCCCCTGCTGGTCCTTTGAGGAACTGTTCGCCCAAAAGTAACTTTTCCAAGCTCCACTTTCTACCTTGGGCCTGAGATGTCTTTTCCCTTCCAAATGTTCTTGTGCACTGTGCCAGTCTATTATTTTGGATATTGTTCTTTGAATAGAAATATAACAACAACAACAACAACAACATCAACAACAACAACAACAACACTTGATTTATATTCCATATTTCTCCACGTGGAGACTCTAGCGGGCCTAATTCTTCTTTATACACCTTATAAAACAGAGCAGAGAAACCATCTGGACCTGGGGCTTTATTTAATTTAGCTTTATCTATAGCTGTGTTTAATTCCTCCCATGTAATTTGTCTATCCAAATCTGATTTCATATCTTCTGTGAGCTTGGAGACATTCATATCAGCTAGGTATTGGTCTATTTTTTTAGTATCTATTGGGTTATTTTTGTAGAGGTTTCTGTAATAGTCTTCTCCTTTCATCTCCGGCTTTGGAGGTGGCGCTCATCTCTGGCTCCAGGGAAGGTGCTGTTCTCCATTTCCAAGCTGTCACCTCCTGATTGTGTGATTGGCATGACTGCTTAGAGCCGTGATGGCGAACCTATGACACGCGTAGCCATTTCTACTGACACGCGCCCTCCGGATATTATTTGTTTATTTATTTTATGCCATTTTAAAAAATAAATAGGAAAGAAATTATTATTTTGAAATGTTACCTAAATATTAAGGAGTTTCATATTTAAACTGAATGATAAATACTATTACTTTGCTATATTATTCAAATATTAAAATGCATTAAATTAAATGTCAAATTTAAAAATATTTAATTATTAATATTTAGGTAACATTGCAAAATAATATTGGTTTATTTAATTATTAAGTAAACGAATATTATTTTGCATTGTTTCCTAAATATTAAGGAGTTACATATTTAAATTAAATTAAATGATAATAGGCCTGGGTAACAACGGAAAAATTTGTTTCTAAAATCGATTCGTTTTTTGGGGTATTTTGCGTTTCGATATTTAAAAGAATTCCAAATTTTTTTTAAAAAAAAAGTTCGATATTTACAAAATTTCGTAAATGGTAAAAAAATTACAAAACAATAACGAAACAATAACAAATCGATTTGTTAATGGCGGACGCGACCGCGCAATACGCTAAAAAACCTCCAAATGGGACAGGGGGAACTTCTGAAGCTTCCCTCTCCCTCTGTTGTTGACTGTTGGTGTGATATTATAATTTTTTTTCACTAATTAAACAAAAAACAACTATAAAACTTGCCCCAGACATGCGGAAATAATAACGAAACGATCTCAAACCAATAACGAAACGAATACATAACGAGATACGAAGCATTTACGAAACGAATTGAAAAATTTGTTTCGTTTTTAGGCTGCTCCAGAATGGTTCGTTATCGCTTCGTTAACAAAAAAATAACGAATTTTTAACGAATTACGAATTAACGGACTGGTTGGATCTTCTCGCAGTCCAAGGCACTCTCAGCACTTTCCTCCAACACCACAGCTCAAAAGCATCGATCTTCCTTCGCTCAGCCTTCCCTAAGGTCCAGCTCTCACATCCGTAGGTGACTACAGGGAAGACCATGGCTTTGACTAGGCAATGGATCTTTGTTGCCAGTCTGATGTCTCTACTCTTTATTATTTTATCGAGACTGGACATTGCTCTCCTCCCAAGAAGGAAGCGTCTTCTGATTTCCTGGCCACAGTCTGCATCTGCAGTAATCTTTGCACCTAGAAATACAAAGTCTGTCACGACCTCCACGGTTTCTCCCTCTATTTTCCAGTTGTCAATCATTCTTGTTGCCATAATCTTGGTTTTTTTGACGTTTAGCTGCAACCCGGCTTTTGCGCTTTCTTCTTTCACCTTGATTAGAAGGCTCCTCAGCTCCTCCTCGCTTTCGGCCATCAGAGTGGTGTCATCTGCATATCTGAGGTTGTTAATGTTTGTTTCAGCAATTTTCACCCCAGCTTTGCATTCATCCAGCCCCGCACATCGCATGATGTGTTCTGCATACAAGTTAAAAAGGTTGGGTGAGAGGATGCAGCCTTGCCGTACGCCTTTCCCAATCTTGAACCAGTCTGTTGTTCCGTGGTCAGTTCTGACTGTTGCTCCTTGGTCCTTGTACAGATCCCTCAGGAGAGAGGGAAGGGGGCTTGGGATGCCCATCCCACTAAGAACTTGCCACAATTTATTATGATCCACACAGTCAAAGGCTTTAGAATAGTCAATGAAGCAGAAGTACCAAGTTGATGTTATAATCTGTTTTAATTGCATTATACTGTTTTGTGATATTTTGCATTGTTGTGTAAACCGCTTTGAGTCGCCTAAGGGCTGAGAAAAGCGGTATAGAAATAAAGTAAATAAATAATGTATTGTCGAAGGCTTTCATGGCTGGAATCACTAGGTTCTTGTGGGTTTTTTCGGGCTATAGAGCCATGTTCTAGAGGCATTTCTCCTGACGTTTCGCCTGCATCTATGGCAAGCATCCTCAGAGGTTGAGAGGTTGACCTTCTCAACCTCTGAGGATGCTTGCCATAGATGCAGGCGAAACGTCAGGAGAAATGCCTCTAGAACATGGCTCTATAGCCCGAAAAAACCCACAAGAACCTAGTGATTCCAGCCATGAAATCCTTCGACAATACATTATTATTATTATTATTATTATTATTATTATACATATATATAATATATTATATATATATATATATATATAATATATATATATATATATATATTATATATATATGTGTGTGTGTGTGTGTGTGTATGTGTGTGTGTGTGTGTGTGTGTATGTGCCTTAAATGAAATGGTAAATTAAATATCAAAATATTATTTTGCAATGTTACTTTATTGTTATTGCATTATTATTATTATTATTAATTAGAAATACATTAAATAGCATATTAAATGCTAGAAATACATTTAAATTAAATTAAAAATAAATAATATTTTGTTGGGTTTTTAAAATTATATTTTTATTAAACACTCCAAAAAGGATATTATTTACATAAAGAGAGGTAGAACAACATGATAAGAGAGAAAGTGGGAATTACAATTATATATTTTTTGTTATTTAAACTAAATATTGCGAAATTATGGTTTTTTTTCTTGAAGTGACACACCACCTGAATTATGCTCAGTTTTTTGGCGAATTTTGACACACCGCGCTCAAAAGGTTGCCCATCACTGTCCTAAGGGCTTTTTGGCTATTCATTGCATTTGGATTATTTCTGCAAGCTTTGGGACATTGTTATTATTCCTTTGTTTGGACACTGCTTATGTTGCTGCTTTATTTGGCTTTTTGCTTTTGGACTTCTACTTATTTTTATAATCATCTCTTTTATTGGCTCCAGTTATTCTACAAATAAAAAGGACTCTTCCTTCAATCAAGGTGTGGTGTAATTAATGATTAGAGCAGTGTTTCTCGCTCAACCTAGTGGGGTCGCGAGGGGGTGTCAGAGGGGTCGCCAAAGACCATCAGAAAACATAGTTGGATTGTTGTAGGTTTTTCCGGGCTATATGGCCATGTTCTGGAGGCAATTTTTCTCCTGACGTTTCGCCTGCATCTATGGCAAGCATCCTCAGAGGTAGTGAGGTCTGTTGGAAGTAGGAAAATTGGATTTATATATCTATGGAATGACCAGGGTGGGACAAAGGACTCTTGTCTGCTGGAGCTGGGTGTGAATGTTTCAACTGACCACCTTGATTAGCATTGAAAGGCCTGGCTGAGCCTGGGGGAATCTTCTTTTGAGAGGTGTTAAGATGTGCCTGGTTGTTTCCTCTCTGCTGTTTTGCTGTTGTAATTTTAGAGTTTTTTAATACTGGTAGCCAGATTTTGTTCATTTTCATGGTCTCCTCCTTTCTGTTGAAATTATCCACATGTTTGTGTATTTCAGTGGCTTCTCTGTGTAGTCTGACATGGTGGTTGTGAGAGTGGTCCAGCATTTTTGTGTTCTCAGATAATCTGCTGTGTCCAGGTTGGTTCATCAGGTGCTCTGCTATGGCTGATTTCTCTGGTTGGAGTAGTTTGCAGTGCCTTTCATGTTCCTTGATGCGTGTTTGGGCAATGCTGCGTTTGGTGGTCCCTATGTAGACTTCTTGTCCACAGCTGCATGGTACACGGTAGACTCCTGCAGAGGTGAGAGGATCCCTCTTGTCCTTTGCTGAACGTTGCTGAATCTCAACAAAAGATTCCCCCCAGGCCCTTCCAAGCCATTGAATGCTAATCAAGGTGATCAGCTGAAACATTCATAGCTAGCCCCAGCAGCCAAGAGTCCTTTGTCTCACCCTGGTCATTCCACAGATATATAAACCCATTTTTCCTACTTCCAACAGACCTCACTGCCTCTAAGGATGCTTGCCATGGATGCAGGCGAAACGTCAGGAGAAAAATTGCCTCCAGAACATGGCCATATAGCCCGGAAAAACCTACAACAACCCAGTGATTCTGGCCATGGAAGCCTTCGACAATACAGAAAACATAGTATTTTCTGTTGGTCATGGGGGTTCTGTGTGGAAAGTTTGGCCCAATTCTATCCTTGGTGGAGAACAGAATATTCTGATTGTAGGTGAACTATAAATCCCAACAACTACAACTCCCAAATGTCAATGTTTATATTCCCCAAACTCCACCAGTATTTACATTTGGGCATATTGAGTATTTGTGCCAAGTTTGGTCCAGATCCACCATTGTTTGAGTGCACAGTGCTCTCTAGATGTAGGTGAACTACAACTCCAAAACTCAAGGTCAAAACCCAGCTAACCTTTCCCATATTTTCTGTTGGTCATGGGAGGTCTGTGTTCCAAATTTGGTTGATTTCAGAATGCTCTTTGATTGGAGGTGAACTACAAATCCCAGCAACTACAACTCCCAAATGAGAAAAACCAATCCTCTCTACAATCCCACCAGTATTCAAATTTGGTTGTATTATTGGATTTTGTGCCCAGTTTGGTCCAGTGAATGAAAATATATCCTGCATATCGGATGTTTACATTACGATTCATAACAGGAGTACAATTACAGTTGCGAAGTAGCAACAGAAATAATGTTATGGTTGGGGGTCACCACAACATAAGGAACTGTATTAAGGGGTCGTGGCATTAGGAAGGTTGAGAAACTCTGGATTAGAGGGTCCTGTTCCTGTTCGAGGATGCAACAATTAGTACACAGAGCAATGGATTCAAATGGCAGGAAAAGTGATTCCACCTAAACATTAGAAGGAACTTCCAAATGCTATTGTTGTTTTACAATGAAATACTTTGCTGCCTGGGAGTCTGGTTGCGGTCTTCGAGAAGAGGCCATTGGTCAGGAGGGCTTGGATTGTGTCTTCCTGCCCGGCAGAAAGGGGTTGGACTAGATGCCCTTTGGAGTCCCTTCCAACTCTAGGACACGCAGTCCTCAGTCCGACACAGAAGCAAACAGTCCCCCGCAGCCTCGTTCCAGTTCCTGCTGCTGTGTTTGGAAAGCCCTCCGCAAGGCCAGGTTGGCGACGGACATGATAATGCGAAGGGCATCCTTCTTTGGCCAAATTGTCCACAAAGTTCCTTCCAAGAGCCCAGCGAGCCCAACCAGAAAGCTGCCGGTCGCTCCATAAGCGTTCCCGGTGAAAACTGAAATGATGAGGATGGTGACGGCGGTGATGGCGGTGGCGGAGTGCCTGGCCAAAGCCTGTCCTTCCTCGGAGAAGCGGCCCCCCGCTGCGGCCACAAGGAGTGCCCCTCCCAGGATGGCGTTGGCTGCCGAGGTGTCGCCGTGAAGCCAGTGGAAGCCAAAGGCCAGCAAAGGCAGGCCCAGCACTGTGGCCACCCAGGACCCCTCTGTGGCCACCGTGGGATCCGAACACAGCCCCAAGGAGGCGGGCAGCACCAGCGCAGCCAGGTCCAACAGTGGCACCAGCGCCTGGAGAAGAAAGCCGGTGGAGGCACCACGGCTGATCTGGAAAACAAAGGGGGTGGTCAGCAAAAGGCAATCATTGGATAAGCAGCCCGTTTGTTGTTTGGGCTTGGCCTCATGTAAGCCGCTCTAAGTCCCCAAAGGGGAGACGGTAGCGGGGTATAAATAAAGTTTATTATTATTATTATTAACTGTAGAGGAGAGTCTACTGAACAAGCCAGTACCTGCCGCATACGTTGCTTAAGTCCCATTGACCGACCGTCTGTGCAGAGTTCCATACTCCGCACTTTAACAACACAACCGTTCAATGCTAATATTTCCCACCGAAGTGGAACTGTAGAGGAGAGTCTACCGAACAAGCCAGTACCTGCCCCATACTGCCATCTGTTGAGGAGGTACAAAGGTGGAGGCATTACTTTTCACTTTAACAACACAACCGTTCAATGCTAAGGCTTCCCATCAAAATGGAACTGTAGAGGAGAGTCTACTGAACAAGCCAGTACCTGCCACATACCAGTACTGCCATCTGTTGAGGAGGTACCAAGGTGGAGGCATTACTTTTCACTTTAACAACACAACAGTTCAATGCCAAGGCTTCGTGCCAAAATGGAACTGTAGAGGACAGTCTACCGAACAAGCCAGTACCTGCCCCATACAAGTACTGCCATCTGTTGAGGAGGTACCAAGGTGGAGGCATTACTTTTCACTTTAACAACACAACCGTTCAATGCTAAGGCTTCGCGCCGAAGTGGAACTGTAGAGGAGAGTCTCCTGAACAAGCCAGTACCTGCCACATACGTTGCTTAAGTCCCATTGACCGACTATCTGCTCAGGGTTCCATATTCCACACTTTAACAACACAACCATTCAATAATAAGGCTTCCCACCGAAGTGGAACTGTAGAGGAGAGTCTACCGAACAAGCCAGTACCTGCCCCATACAAGTACTGCCATCTGTTGAGGAGGTACCAAGGTGGAGGCATTACTTTTCACTTTAACAACACAACCGTTCAATGCTAAGGCTTCCTGCCAAAATGGAACTGTAGAGGAGAGTCTCCTGAACAAGCCAGTACCTGCCCCATAGAAGTACTGCCATCTGTTGAGGAAGTACCAAGGTGGAGGCATTACTTTTCACTTTAACAACACAACCGTTCAGTGCTAAGGCTTCCCGCCAAAATGCCAGTACCTGTTGCATACATTGCTTAAGTCCCATTGACCGACCATCTGCTCAGGGTTCCATACTTTGCACTTTAACAACACAACCATTCAATAATAAGGCTTCCCACCAAAGTGGAACTGTAGAGGAGAGTCTCCTGAACAAGCCAGTACCTGCCGCATTCGTTGCTTAAGTCCCATTGACCGACCATCTGCGCAGGGTTCCATACGTTGCACTTTAACAACACAACCATTCAATGCTAAGGCTTCCCGCCAAAATGGAACTGTAGAGGAGAGTCTCCTGAACAAGCCAGTACCTGCCGCATATGTTGGTTAAGTCACATTGACCGATCATCTGCACAGGGTTCCATACTTCGCAAGTTTACAACACAACCATTCAATGCTAAGGATTCCCACCGAAATGGAACTGTAGAGGAGAGTCTCCTGAACAAGCCAGTACCTGCCGCATTCGTTGCTTAAGTCCCATTGACCGACCATCTGCGCAGGGTTCCATACGTTGCACTTTAACAACACAACCATTCAATGCTAAGGTTTCCCGCCAAAATGGAACTGTAGAGGAGAGTCTCCTGAACAAGCCAGTACCTGCCGCATACGTTGGTTAAGTCACATTGACCGATCATCTGCACAGGGTTCCATACTTCGCAAGTTTACAACACAACCATTCAATGCTAAGGATTCCCACCGAAATGGAACTGTAGAGGAGAGTCTCCTGAACAAACCAGTACCTGCCGCATTCGTTGCTTAAGTCACATTGACTGACAAAATGGAACTGTAGAGGAGAGTCTACCGAACAAGCCAGTACCTGCCCCATACAAGTACTGCCATCTGTTCAGGAGTTCTGAAGGTGGAGGCATTACTTTTCACTTTAACAACACAACCGTTCAATGCTAGGGTTTCCTGCCAAAATGGAACTGTAGAGGAGAGTCTACTGAACAAGCCAGTACCTGAAGCATTCGTTGCTTTAGTCCCATTGACCGACCGTCTGCACAAGGTTCCATACTTTGCACTTTACCAACACAACCGTTCAATGCTAAGGCTTCCTGCCAAAATGGAACTGTAGAGGAGAGTCTACCGAACAAGCCAGTACCTGCCCCATACAAGTACTGCAATCTGTTGAGGAGTTACGAAGGTGGAGGCATTACTTTTCATTCAACCCTCGTAGAAATGCCCTCCTGTTTCCTATCTATCTACCTGGCTTTCTCACCTGGAAGGTCCCAAAAGCGGAGCCCAGGCAGGTGGCACACAGCAGGAGGTTGGAGAGCAGGCCCAGCACCTCTTCGGCCCAGGAGGGCATTGGGACAGACAGGCGGGAGGCTGCACTGCGGAGGAAGACAGGAGAGAGTGATGCAGCAGCAGAAAAGGCCAATACCATTCTAGGCTGCACTCAGTGGAGGAGAAGCCCTAGCCCAGGCTTGGGCCAACTTGGGCCCTCCAGGTGTTTTGGACTGCAACTCCCACAATTCCTAACAGCCGGTAGGCTGTTAGGAATTGTGGGAGTTGGAGTCCAAAGCACCTGGAGGGCCCAAGTTGGCCCAAGCCTGGGCTAAGGCTTTCATCCATCTGAACACTATTATTATTATTCCTATAAAATTACATAATTCAATGGTTAAACAGAGGCTGGGTGGCCATCTGTCAGGAGGGCTTTGATTGTGCCTTCCTGTCTAGCAGAAGGGGGTCAGACTAGATATCCTTTGGGGGTCCCTTCCAAGTCTAGAATTACATAATTCAATGGTTAAATAGAGGCTGGGTGGCCATCTGTCAGGAGGGCTTTGATTGTGCCTTCCTGTCTAGCAGAAGGGGGTCAGACTAGATATCCTTTGGGAGTCCCTTCCAAGTCTAGAATTACATAATTCAATGGTTAAATAGAGGTTGGGTGGCCATCTGTCAGGAGGGCTTTGATTGTGCCTTCCTGTCTAGCAGAAGGGGGTCAGACTAGATATCCTTTGGGGGTCCCTTCCAAGTCTAGAATTACATAATTCAATGGTTAAACAGAGGCTGGGTGGCCATCTGTCAGGAGGGCTTTGATTGTGCCTTCCTGTCTAGCAGAAGGGGGTCAGACTAGATATCCTTTGGGGGTCCCTTCCAAGTCAATCGTTGGGCATCTGCAGCTGGATTGGTACCTTTAATTGAGAGGAGTGTGGCTCTCCAGTTGCTATAGGACTACAACTCCCATCAAGCCTGCTCTCCAAAGCAATGCCCTTTGCCTTCCTTTAGGAAACTTTCCTTGCGCATGCGCAGAAAGCGCACGAGGCGGCGCAAAGGCCCCCTTTGGCCCCTAGAGGGTGAGCGATTGGAGCGCCGCTTCGACACTTCAGGTTAGCTTTGGAGTGTGAGGGAGAGCAAACGAGCATGCGCACTGCCTTTCCGGGCCGGAGAGGGGAAAGAGAATGGCTTTCTGGCCTATAGGTTCCCTATTGGTAGTGCGAGCATGCGCAATGGCAACTTGGCTATAGAGGAAAAGGGATTTGAGCGCTCTTCTAAAACCCTAAACTTCGGGTTCCCAAGCGAGGCATTCTATACTCTGGTATAGTTAATCAACTACCAAGCTTGCAAACTTTGTGTTTTGTTTGTTTCTTTGTTAAAAAATGCAATACAACTTTTTGGCTTGCTCCTGACTCTATAAATAAATAAAGCTACTCTGGAAAAGGGAGGGCTGTAAACTCATCAAGGCGGTGAAAGTGGGGCTAAACTGCATTAATCTTATATATAGACATAGACATAGATACAGATAGAGACAAAATATTACAAAAATATTAATAATATTTTGCAAATATTACAAAAGCCAATAATAAATAAACAAAGGATAAAAATAATTGTTTTCATGCACAAAATTAATTGCAATTATATATATATATATATATATATAAAAATTTGGGTGCATCTAATTATGCATATGCCAATATTACAAATGCCCATAATAAATAAATAAACAAGGGATGCAAATCATTGTTTTCATGCACAAACTGAATTGCAATATTATATATACAGAATTTGGGTGCATCTAATTATGCATATGCAAATATTACAAAAGCCAATAAAAAAGAAAGAATGGATGCAAATCATACAAAATACAATAATAAATAAATAAAGGATGCAAATCATTGTTTTCATGCACAAAATGAATTGCAATATTATATATGTAGTATTTGGGTGCAACTAATTATGCATATGCAAATATTACAAAAGCCAATAAATAAATAAATAAATAAATAAATAAATAAATAAGGGATGCAAATATTGCAATATTATATTTATAGAATTTAGGTGCATCTAATTATGCATATGCAAATATTAGAAAAGCCAATAATAAACAAAGGATGCACATCATTGTTTTCATGCACAAAATTAATTGCAATATTATATATACAGAATTTGGGTGCATCTTATTATGCATATGCAAATATTACAAAAGCCAATAAAAAGAAAGAATGGATGCAAATCATTGTTTTCATGCACAAAATTAATTGCAATATTATATATATAGGGGGGGGATTTGGGTGCATCTAATTATGCATATGCAAATATTGCAAAAGCCAATAATAAATAAATAAACAAAGAATGCAAATCATTGTTTTCATGCACTAAATTAACTGCAATATTATATATATATAGAATTTGGGTGCATCTAATTATGCATATGCAAATATTACAAAAGCTAATAATAAATAAACAAGGCATGCAAATAATTGTTTTCATGCACAAAATTAATTGCAATATTATATATATAGAGAGAGGGGGGGAGTTTGGGTGCATCTAATTATGCATATGCAAATATTACAAGAGTCAATAATAAATAAATAAACAAAGGATGCAAATCATTGTTTTCATGCACAAAATGAATTGCACAAGGTGCATCCTTCATCCAAATGCTTTGCATTTTGGAATATTTGCCTATGCATAATAAGGGAGGGAGGGAAAGACCTGAGTGTGTGCTTGCAGTTAAAGGAGCCACAAGGCTCTCTCTGCACATGCTCAGAGGCACTCTTGTCTTGTGCAATGGCAGGGAAAGAGGGCTGGGCCAGGCTCCTCCTCCATTTCCTCTTCCTCTTCCCAGTCGAGGGAGGCCAGCCATGGGCATTGTCAAACTGGCCGAACTGGTGGAGGAAGAGGCCCCCGAGGCCGTCCGCACTGTCCCGCTGGAACGATACCGGGGTAAGTCAGTGCGCATCTACATTGGGGAATTAATGCACTTTAAATGCCCTGGCTCAGGGATGCAATGGGATCAGTGGCTTGGAAAGGCAGAGAAGACCTTGCAAAACTACAAGGCATTGAAGGCAGTTAAAGGGGTGTCAAAACTACATTAGGTTGCTGTGAGTCTTTTCCAGGCTGCCTGGCCCAGTTCCAGTAGCATTCTCTCCTGACATTTTGCCTGCATCTGTGGCTAACTGCATTTTCATAAGTTCTGTTGGCAGTGAGGCGAGTGGAGTGTAGGACATAGATCTGAGCTGTCCAAGGTGGGAGAAAGAACCCTTGTCTGTTTGAAGCAAGAGTGGATGTTGCAGTTAGCCAGCTTGAGTAGCCATGAAGTTTGCAAAATCAGTCAGTTGAGGGTACCTGCATAAAGGTAGCCTGGCTGTTGTTGCCTGGAGGCACCCTCTGTTGGGGGAGGTGTTCACTGATACTTGGTAGCATTAAGTAGCCATGAAGTTTGCAAAGTCAATCAGTCCAGGTATCTCCATTGAGGTAGCCTGGCTGTTGTTGCCTGGAGGCACCCTCTCTTTGGGAGGTGTTCACTGATACTTGGTAGCATTAAGTAGCCATGAAGTGTGCAAAGTCAATCAGTCCAGGTATCTCCATTGAGGTAGCCTGGCTGTTGTTGCCTGGAGGCACCCTCTCTTTGGGAGGTGTTCACTGATACTTGGTAGCATTAAGTAGCCATGAAGTGTGCAAAGTCAATCAATCCAGGTATCTCCATTGAGGTAGCCTGGCTGTTGTTGCCTGGGGCACCCTCTCTTTGGGAGATGTTCACTGATACTTGGTAGCATTAAGTAGCCATGAGGTTTGCAAAGTCAATCAGTCCAGGTATCTCCATAGAGGTAGCCTGGCTGCTGTTACCTGGAGGCACCCTCTCTTTGGGAGGTGTTCACTGATACTTGGTAGCATTGAGTAGCCATGAAGTTTGCAAAGTCAATCAGTCCAGGTATCTCCATTGAGGTAGCCTGGCTGTTGTGGCCTGGAGGCACCCTCTGTTTGGGAGGTGTTCACTGATACTTGGTAGCATTAAGAAGCCATGAAGTTTGCAAAGTCAATCAGTCCAGGTATCTCCATAGAGGTAGCCTGGCTGTTGTTGCCTGGAGGCACCCTGTCTTTGGGAGGTGTTCACTGATACTTGGTAGCATTAAGTAGCCATGAAGTTTGCAAAGTCACTCAGTCCAGGTATCTTCGTAGAGGTAGCCTGGCTGTTGTTGCTTGGAGGCACCCTCTGTTTGGGAGGTGTTCACTAATACTTGGTAGCATTAAGTAGCCATGAAGTTTGCAAAGTCAATCAGTCCAGGTATCTCCATAGAGGTAGCCTGGCTGTTGTTGCCTGGAGGCACCCTCTATTGGGAGGTGTTCACTGATACTTGGTAGCATGAAGTAGCCATGAAGTTTGCAAAGTCAATCAGTCCAGGTATCTCCATAGAGGTAGCCTGGCTGTTGTTGCCTGGAGGCACCCTCTGTTTGGGAGGTGTTCACTGATACTTGGTAGCATTAAGTAGCCATGAAGTTTGCAAAGTCAATCAGTCCAGGTATCTCCGTAGAGGTAGCCTGGCTGTTGTTGCCTGGAGGCACCCTCTGTTTGGGAGGTGTTCACTAATACTTGGTAGCATTAAGTAGCCATGAAGTTTGCAAAGTCAATCTGTCCAGGTATCTCCGTAGAGGTAGCCTGGCTGTTGTTGCCTGGAGGCACCCTCTATTGGGGGAGGTGTTCACTGATACTTGGTAGCATTAAGTAGCCATGAAGTTTGCAAAGTCAATCAGTCCAGGTATCTCCATAGAGGTAGCCTGGCTGTTGTGGCCTGGAGGCACCCTCTCTTTGGGAGGTGTTCACTGATACTTGGTAGCATTAAGTAGCCATGAAGTGTGCAAAGTCAATCAATCCAGGTATCTCCATTGAGGTAGCCTGGCTGTTGTTGCCTGGGGCACCCTCTCTTTGGGAGATGTTCACTGATACTTGGTAGCATTAAGTAGCCATGAGGTTTGCAAAGTCAATCAGTCCAGGTATCTCCATAGAGGTAGCCTGGCTGCTGTTACCTGGAGGCACCCTCTCTTTGGGAGGTGTTCACTGATACTTGGTAGCATGAAGTAGCCATGAAGTTTGCAAAGTCAATCAGTCCAGGTATCTCCATAGAGGTAGCCTGGCTGTTGTTGCCTGGAGGCACCCTCTGTTTGGGAGGTGTTCACTGATACTTGGTAGCATTAAGTAGCCATGAAGTTTGCAAAGTCAATCAGTCCAGGTATCTCCATAGAGGTAGCCTGGCTGTTGTTGCCTGGAGGCACCCTCTCTTTGGGAGGTGTTCACTGATACTTGGTAGCATTAAGTAGCCATGAAGTTTGCAAAGTCAATCAGTCCAGGTATCTCCATAGAGGTAGCCTGGCTGTTGTTGCCTGCAGGCACCCTCTGTTTGGGAGGTGTTCACTGATACTTGGTAGCATTAAGTAGCCATGAAGTTTGCAAAGTCAATCAGTCCAGGTATCTCCATAGAGGTAGCCTGGCTGTTGTTGCCTGGAGGCACCCTCTGTTTGGGAGGTGTTCACTGATACTTGGTAGCATTAAGAAGCCATGAAGTTTGCAAAGTCAATCAGTCCAGGTATCTCCATAGAGGTAGCCTGGCTGTTGTTGCCTGGAGGCACCCTCTCTTTGGGAGGTGTTCACTGATACTTGGTAGCATTAAGTAGCCATGAAGTTTGCAAAGTCAATCAGTCCAGGTATCTCCATAGAGGTAGCCTGGCTGTTGTGGCCTGGAGGCACCCTCTCTTTGGGAGGTGTTCACTGATACTTGGTAGCATTAAGAAGCCATGAAGTTTGCAAAGTCAATCAGTCCAGGTATCTCCATAGAGGTAGCCTGGCTGTTGTTGCCTGGAGGCACCCTCTGTTTGGGAGGTGTTCACTGATACTTGGTAGCATGAAGTAGCCATGAAGTTTGCAAAGTCAATCAGTCCAGGTATCTCCATAGAGGTAGCCTGGCTGTTGTTGCCTGGAGGCACCCTCTCTTTGGGAGGTGTTCACTGATACTTGGTAGCATTAAGTAGCCATGAAGTTTGCAAAGTCAATCAGTCCAGGTATCTCCATAGAGGTAGCCTGGCTGCTGTTACCTGGAGGCACCCTCTCTTTGGGAGGTGTTCACTGATACTTGGTAGCATGAAGTAGCCATGAAGTTTGCAAAGTCAATCGTCCAGGTATCTCCATAGAGGTAGCCTGGCTGCTGTTGCGTGGAGGCACCCTCTGTTGGGGAGGTGTTCACTGATACTTGGTAGCATTAAGAAGCCATGAAGTTTGCAAAGTCAATCAGTCCAGGTATCTCCATAGAGGTAGCCTGGCTGCTGTTACCTGGAGGCACCCTCTCTTTGGGAGGTGTTCACTGATACTTGGTAGCATTGAGTAGCCATGAAGTTTGCAAAGTCAATCAGTCCAGGTATCTCCATAGAGGTAGCCTGGCTGTTGTGGCCTGGAGGCACCCTCTCTTTGGGAGGTGTTCACTGATACTTGGTAGCATTAAGTAGCCATGAAGTGTGCAAAGTCAATCAATCCAGGTATCTCCATTGAGGTAGCCTGGCTGTTGTTGCCTGGGGCACCCTCTCTTTGGGAGATGTTCACTGATACTTGGTAGCATTAAGTAGCCATGAGGTTTGCAAAGTCAATCAGTCCAGGTATCTCCATAGAGGTAGCCTGGCTGCTGTTACCTGGAGGCACCCTCTCTTTGGGAGGTGTTCACTGATACTTGGTAGCATGAAGTAGCCATGAAGTTTGCAAAGTCAATCAGTCCAGGTATCTCCATAGAGGTAGCCTGGCTGTTGTTGCCTGGAGGCACCCTCTGTTTGGGAGGTGTTCACTGATACTTGGTAGCATTAAGAAGCCATGAAGTTTGCAAAGTCAATCAGTCCAGGTATCTCCATAGAGGTAGCCTGGCTGTTGTTGCCTGGAGGCACCCTCTATTGGGAGGTGTTCACTGATACTTGGTAGCATGAAGTAGCCATGAAGTTTGCAAAGTCAATCAGTCCAGGTATCTCCATAGAGGTAGCCTGGCTGTTGTTGCCTGGAGGCACCCTCTGTTTGGGAGGTGTTCACTGATACTTGGTAGCATTAAGAAGCCATGAAGTTTGCAAAGTCAATCAGTCCAGGTATCTCCATAGAGGTAGCCTGGCTGTTGTGGCCTGGAGGCACCCTCTCTTTGGGAGGTGTTCACTGATACTTGGTAGCATTAAGTAGCCATGAAGTTTGCAAAGTCAGTAAGTCCAGGTATCTCCGTAGAGGTAGCCTGGCTGTTGTTGCCTGGAGTCACCCAGTATTTGGAGGAATTATACTCAGTGTTTCTCAACCTGGAGGTTGGGACCCTTGGGTGGGGGTCGCGAGGGGTTGTCAGAGGGGTCGCCAAACACCATCAGGTTCTGTTGGTCATGGAGGTCTTGGTGTAGGAAGTTTGGACCAAGTCTATCATTTGTGGGATTCAGAATGCTTTTTGATTGTAGGTGAACTATAAATCCCAGCAACTACAACTCCAAAGTGTCAAGGTCTATTTCCCCCAAATTCCACCAGTTTTCACATTTGGGCATATTGAGTATTCATACCAAGTTTGGTCCAGATCCATCATTGTTTGAGTCTACAGTGCTCTCTAAATGTAGGTGAACTACAACTCCCAGACTCATGGTCAATGCCCATCAGACCCTTCCAGTATTTTTTATTGGCCATGGGAGTTCTGTGTGCAAAGTTTGGTTCAATGCCATTGTCGGTGGAGTTCAGAATGCTCTTTTATTGGAGGTGAACTATAAATCCCAGCAACTACAACTCCAAAGTGTCAAGGTCTATTTCCCCCAAATTCCACCAGTATTCACATTTGGATATATTGAGTACTCATACCAAGTTTGGTCCAGATCCATCATTGTTGGAGTCCACAGAGCTCTCTGGATATAGGTGAACTACAACTCCCAAACTCAAGGTCAATGCCCACCAA